CACCCTGGAAGCAGAAAGAGCAGCTTGCTGACCGGTTGCAGGCGGTTACTTTAAGCAGCGAGGGTGGGGAACCCTCATTGGCCTTTTATACATCCGAGCTAGGCTGGGTTCTTTCTGAGTCATATATCTGGGTAAATGCGTGTTTGTTTATTTATCTGTATTTATTGATGTTTTTGTCGTGTTTAGTGTGTCTCGGAGGGGGTGACCCTTTGAGGGCCGCATGGAACGACGCTTCACGTTCATATGTGCCGATGGGTGGAGGTTTAAAAATGACAATAAAGTTATTCTTAAGTCTTTTGACTTGTGGACTTCAACTCCCAGAATTCTGGGAGTTGCAGTCCACGAGTCATAAAAGGGCCCTGGCTCCCCACCCCTAGCACAAAAGCCAGACTAGCCTGTCTGGGATCCCCTATGGGAGCCTTGGTTTGGGGGAGCCTGCTCACCTGACTTTGGCACGTCCCCCTCCTTGAACCATTGCAGGGGCTGTGCAAAGAGAGCCAACAGGCACCCATAACCGGATTGCACGCTTAGCGGATGGGGCTGCGATCCTGCCTCCGGCACGGTTGGTAAGAAGCGCTTCCAATCTCTTGTGGAAGTTGTTTATTTCTAGGAGAACCTGGGAAAAAAGGTTGCTGCTGCTTTAAGCATCTCATTTACATTAAGGCCGTGGTGTGCAAGCTCAGGAATTTTAAGTTGTGTGGACTTCAACTCCCAGGATTCCCTAGTCTGGCTGGAACCAAGTTGGTGGTCTTTAGTGAAGGGACCAGTGGTAGGTTGCAGGTGGTACACCCCAGTATGGGCGTACCGGGGCCTGCCCGGAGTACCAGATATTGTTCCGATATGGTGCTCTGGAGGGTCCACCCGAGCTTCTTACCTGTATTTGAGCTCTTTGGCGCTTCCGTGCATGCTCACAGAGTGCACGGCGCCTGCGCAACATTCTGCTGAGCAGCTGGAGTGTTGTGGAGTTTCACGGAGGCGTCACAAGAGGTAAGGACGCATTAGCATGCTGCGCGCGTTCATGTGGTAGACACCGGGGCCCGTTGCAACTGTACCGGTTGCATTGGGATTTGGAACCCACCACTGGAAGAGACGCTGTGTGAGCATTAGGGCAAAGGCATTTCTTCCCCACTGTTTTCTGAAGGCTGCCCAGGGCAATTTGTTTAGGGTGCCATAGGAACACAGGCAATCCAGGAACTTTCTCACAACAATCTGCTAATGTAGCTCAGTGGGATGGTCAAAAGCATTATATGGAGTGGGTGGATTAAATTGGATGAGAACTTTGTTAAAACTACTTGGTGAATTTGGGGCCGGTCCCACTTGATTCTTAAAAACTAGATCCTGCGGCATCTAAAAAGGTTAAACCATGGCAACTGGACCCAAGTTTATTAAATTGAGACATTTCATTACTCGTCCAAATAACTTCTACAATCAAAATGAAAAATTTAAGGCAGAGAGTTGTTGGTATGGACTCTTGCCATACCAGCTGTAGGGGTTTCTCCCTAAAATGTATTGCAAATGTAAATCATCCAGGCCAAAAACATCTCAAAAGGTTAAATCATGGCAACTGGACCAAAGTTTATTAAAACCTCTGGAGTCTGCAGGCTCTGTTTAAGCCTTTTACTCCTGACCTTGGAGTCCTTCAAGAGCCCCCCTCCCCCTCTACATTTCATCATCCAGGAGAGAAAAAATAGATATCCCCAACTATCCCAGCCCCTAACCCATCAGAAGCGAGTTCTGTAGGTGAGACATCTGCAACATAATTCCATCTTCTGTTGTGACTTGTTCCTTTGTGTGGCCTCCTAGAAAGAACAGAGCAAAAATCAAAGTGGTATTAAAGCTCTTAGTTTCCAGAAAATAGCTCACCCCTTTACATAGCAACCCTGGTTGGAGAATTGGGAGAGAAGGTCGGCTGCAGAGGGGCTTCATCCCAGCCACCAGCAGGTGAAGCCAGGACTTGAAATCAAGGATGGGCTTCCTAGAGGACCAAAAAGCCCCCAGGGAACTCTAAAGGTAGAAACATCCCTTTCTCTTCAAGGGGCTCCTGGAGTTGATGGCACCAGAGAGGAACAATGCTATCAACCACCAGCCAGCCTTCATTTAAGGAGGGAAATGGTTTCAAAGCAAGTGTGAGCCACTCCATTTACCCGGGAATTTAATGCAGCTGGTGGTTTGTTAAGAATCCCATAGATTCAGTTAATTAAAACTGAATCTGAATCATAGACACACAGAAAATCCTTGAGTTTTAATTTGCCTCCAGGTCAGTTTTTCCGATTATGTGTGCATGCACATACACACTGCCCCAGAAAGCTTTGCTTTGCCACGTTCATTTACCTTGGCAAACAGCAGTGTGGGCAAGCCTGTGTCTTTCTTCGTGTGTGTGTGTAGTCTGCAGAGGGATTCTGCCTCTCAGCAGAAGTGACCCCTATAATACTCCTAAGGGGTAAGATGAAGGTGTAGCGGTAAGGTTGCCTCCCGGAAGTGCTTCCTACCTGATACCCAAGCAAGGAATATGAACAGGACTCCTAGTTGGGTGTCTGGTGTCCTTCTGTCTTCAGAGCCCAAACGCCACAAAACAATGTAAAAATTAATAAACGGTTGCAGAAGGGCCCTTCTGGAAGGACAGTTTGCTTGAACTTGCTGTCTGCTACAACCATCCTTTCAGATCCTTTTTTTTTTAAGTGAGGCTGTATCTTGAAGGTTTGGCAGACGGAATATTCAGCCTCAGGACCAAGGGAGGTTGAGCCCCTTCAGGAGTTCGAGTAGTCACAGAACAGAGTATTTGGAGATGATGATGAACACCAACAGGACCGCTGGGCAGCTGACTCAGCTGCAGAAAGATTCGCACAGAATTCCCTTTAAGAAGGTTATTGATAAGGTTACAGAAATTTCTGCAATAAGATTGCATTTACTTTAGAGTCATAGGATCCTAGGGCTGGAAGGGACCTTGGAGGTCTTTGAGTCCAACCCCCAGCACAAGGCAGGAGTCCTTCTGTCATCCTGGACCAAGGAACGTCTAATCTTTTTTTGAAAACCTCCAGCATTCGATATTCTAAAACTCCGGGATGATCCGTTCCATTGTTCTCACTGTCAAGAAATCCCTCCTTAGTTCCAGGTAGGATCTTTCTTGAACGAACTTCCACCATTTCCTCTTGTCCTGTCTGCCTTCGGGTGCGATGGAAAATAGGTTGACCCCTGCTTCTCTGTGACAGCCCTTCAAGTATTGGAAGGCCGCTATCAAGTCACCCCTAAGCCCTCGCTTCATAGACGTACCTCATCCTCTTAACCATCCATCCTATGGTTTGTCTTGTCCTCTTTGTTGCTCTTCTCTGTACTCTTTCTAGGGCCTCAGAATCTTTTCTCTACCGTGGTAACCAGAAGTGGGAGCAGTATTTCAAGTGTGGCCTCACTAGTGCAGTAAAAAAATGATGCTATCACTTCCCCTGATCTAGAACCCACTAGATCTTTCAGTTCTTTCAGGCAGATCATTTTGCAGTTTTTAATACCTTCCAAACCCCGAGGAATTTGCAGGTGGCTGCTGTTTTCCCAATCATCTCCTGAACCTCAATTTGTCTATGAGAGATAATTGCAGGTGGAGGTCAGTGCTTCCTTTCTCATTGCACTCATTTTCCCTCGGCTGTTTCTTTGCATCCAGTTTTTTCTGCAAATACTGCATTATTTGATTATTTGGAAATAAAGAATAGGTGGGATTCCTCACCAAGCCCTGTCACTCAGCCACTCCTGCTTTCCATCATTCTTCACAGCAGGCTTAGTGGATGTCTGGTTCTAATTGGAGTCCCAAAGTCACCTGCATAGCCCTGTATTGAGCAATGCAGGGATGAATGCTCTGATTCTGTGAGTATTTTCATGATGCCCTGTGATTATTCAGGTAAAGCCGTGATCATTCATGGCTTTCTGCCCTTTCCTTCAAAAAGAACATCCTCATACTAGCACTCAAGTCCTTAAAGATGCTGGCCACTCTTCTGTTTAAATACTCTGTTTAGTCCTTGAGGATCTTCTTCTCAGCCTAATTGTTGTGAGGATAAAATATGAGCAAATGCCTAATGAAAGAATCTGTAAGAAACGAAATATTTGTAAACATACAATGCTTTCCTCTCTTCCAGTTTAGAGGAAGCGTAAAGCCATTTTGTTTCAACTTGTTACTGCACATGTGCTCACCTTCTTTTGAGGAGAGGAGGACTTTAAAAACAGCTTTGATTGAGCAGGGCAAGTGATTTTTGCAGTACAGCAGCTGTGACACAGCAGAAAACATGGTTGTTTTTGACTTCCCTTCTTTTGCCTGGAAAGATAAGCCCTCTTGGAATGAATGGAAGCTCAGTCCAGGTAAATGTGGACAGGTGTGAATGTCTTAGAGCTGGTGTAAAAACTGATTTACAGGTAAGCTTAAGGAAGCAGGCAGGCAAATGAGTTAGATCCTAGTTGAAGAAGGAGCAAAAGTTAGATGTGATCTATAATTATAACTGCTATTTTTATTTATTAATATCATGTGCCAAACATGGTAGTTAATTAAATAGATGTAATCTTTTAAAATAATCAAATTCAGAGGGAAAGAGAGACAGTTTTAACCTCATTCATGAAAGTAGAAGAAGTGGAAGAGTAGGGTAGAACTTCCAAGGAAGGTTTTAATAAATCTGCAGCAGATCAGCAACCAGCTCCAGCTCCACTTGAATTCTCCCCAAGTTCTCATCCTTCCCATGAATGAACTTGTTGGAAAAGAATCTTGCTTTAGTCTAGCAAAATTCTGTTCATAGGCCAACAACAACAAAGTAATTAGTAACTCCACATATCATTCTTGATTCTTGGGCCATTTCAGTTATAAGGATAATAAATCAAGTGAATAAGTGAGTATCACTGCAGTGGAATTAATAATATGATTTATGACACATAAAGAAAAATTAATTTCAGACAAGGCAGAATTGCAAGCATATTTCTTTGTGGAAACCTTGATAGGTCATTTGAAATGTCCTTATTTTCTCTTTCAGTGACTCTGACAAACTCTGTAGAAAAAGGTACGTGGATATTTATTATATCTGATCTTTATACTTTGTTCTGCTCTAGCTTGCTTTGCAGTCACCTACAATGATAATCCAATATGATTATCCCACTATTGACAGAAATAGAAAGGGATTCATTGATGGGAGCTTTCCACTTTCCACTGTGGTTGAGGTTCATGGAAATGCAAAGTGTCCCCAGGCCTCGTCTGTAATAAGACCTTGTAGGAGAATCTAAGTTGTATTCAACTAATTAAGGGAACATGCAAAGAAGAAGCTGGGCCATGGGGATCCGGTTTCGAATTGCTTGCTTAGTCAGGAAGTTTCAGCAATTGTTTTTTATTATTTTATTTTATTTTATTTCATTTCATTATTTCTTTATTTTATTTTATTTTATTATTTTATTTTATTATTATTTTATTATTTATTTTATTTTATTATTTATTTTATTATTTTATTATTACTTTATTATTTTATTATTTTATTATTACTTTATTATTTTATTTTATTTTATTTATTTTATTATTTTATTATTTTATTATTTATTTTATTATTTTATTATTTTATTTTATTTTATTATTTTATTATTTTATTTTATTATTTATTTTATTATTTTATTACTTTATTATTTTATTTTATTTTATTTTATTATTTTATTATTTTATTATTTATTTTATTTTATTATTTATTTTATTATTTTATTATTTTATTTTATTTTATTATTTTATTATTTTATTTTATTATTTATTTTATTATTATATTATTATATTATTATTATTATTTTATTATTATTTTATTTTATTATTATTTTATTTTATTATTTGTTTAATGCATTGGCTACCCATCTTACTACAGGGAAGCTCTGGGTGGCTTTCATAAAGTTCAGCTCCCCAATTCGGTTGAGTGGGCGTCTCAGCCGTTTTGGGCTTGGGAAAGGGTTCAATTCCTTTCCTCCATTGATGGATTCTTGATGGAACCCATCAAGAATCCTCCCCTCCCCCTCCCTCTCCCCCAGCAGTTTGTGTTTGAAAGGGATCTCAAACTATAGCATTCCTTTTTTGTATTCCTGGCCAGTTGAAGAGGTCAACACTCATAATATAGGGACAGGTGGCGTATACATTTCAATAAATAAATAAACCCAGACTCTACATTGATTCTCCCCAGTCTTAAGCATAGAGTCCCTTTGAAAGAGGTTTATGTTGTCTTCTGTGAAAGTCAAGGATACTATTAAAGGATTAGCAGCAAAAGGGGCATTTCTGCTTCCTTGCTTAATGCTCTCCTTCTTCTTCTTCTTTAGTGGCCTACCTCACAGTATTCCATATCATCTTTATATTCTTCATATGGACGTATTGGAAGTCTATATTTACTCCTCCACTGCAACCGGACAAAAAGGTAAAACTCAGGGATTTTATAAAGGAACCAACCAGATATGTGACCTTCAACTCCCAGAATGAAAGTTGGTTCATATGTCTGGAGAGAATGTAGTCTGGAAAAGGCTGAAATAAAGAGAGAAGATAAATTTATTGAATTTTAATTTTAATTTTAATAAATTTATATGCCGCCCAATCCCGAAGGACTCCAGGCGGCTTACATAAAAGACAGTTTAAAAAGTACTAAAAAGTTTAAAAAGAAAGAAAAAGAACAAAGCAGGTTAAAACACAACACACTCAACTGTAGTGGGGCTGGACCTCACTCAAGAGGTCAACAGCCCCAGGCCTGCCGGAAAAGCCAGGTCTTAATAGACTTTTTGAAGGCCGCGAGAGTGGGGAGGGTCTGGATCTCCGGGGGTAGATCGTTCCACAGGGCCGGAGCAGAAGTGGTGTGTGCACACCTTCAAGAATAATCTAAATAGATGTCTCATCATAACTTTAAATCTCCCCTCATGGTCAGAAAGCAAGTGGATCAGTTTGGGGGCAGCTACAATTACAGTGGTATCTTGGTACTCATTAATTGTTTCCAGGAGGCGCGACGAGTTCCAAAAATGATGAGTACCAAACAGATTATTCCCATAAGGAATAATGTTGTGACTCCAACAAGTTCTAGCTTACGTGTTATGTACTGGGACAAAATTCTCATGTCAAAATGTGTTGAGTACTAAATTCAATGAGTTTCAAAGCAGTTGAGTACCAAGTTCCATTATATAAAGCATGGGGTGGTAGATCCTGAGATAAATCAAATATCTCTATAGGGTATTTGGCCAGCCTTTACAATAAAAAGAATACAGTAAAAAAGAGAAATAGTTTAACACAGTAATTTGTCATTGAGGAAGGGGAAGAAATAATGGTACAATAAAAATTCTGTGCAACTGTATTACAGTGCAGATATTTGGCCACCCGATACATAGGTGTGGGATTAGCATCCCTTAAAAATTATAAATGCGAACATTCTTGTATTTGGAAAAGCCTGGGGTGAGAGAGCATGTCTTGGGGCACCATAGAAAGGGCACCATAGGAGGAGACAAGCAAGAGTTTCTTCTCCCTGAATCCACAAGGGCAGAGTCTCTGTGAATAAGAAATCTGTGAAATCTTTCCCACCAGTTGGGCTGATGGGAGGGCAGAAATAATCGGAATGGCTTGGTCAGGTATTGCTGTATTTTAATTGTGGAATCAGCATCTTGGTAACAAAAGCGTAAGGCTGTCTGGTGGACACCAATAATTGGATTAGATTCAATAATTCTAATTGATTAGAATCAAGAAGATTCTAGCAGAGAGAAATGGGCAGAGAAGTTGAATGTGATCCTGCTCACTCTTCTGAACTGACATTAAATCTACATTTATTATGTTGCCTGGTGTTGTCTGTCAATGGCTAATTTTTTGGACACACAAAGACACATCTGGGCCTCTGAACAGCTCCGTTCCCAATGTCAGGTCTGCCACCACTTAAATCTCTAAGTAGTAACGATCCTTGGCTCTATTTGTTGAGAAAAGGTATAGTTTTATTAGAAGTCAAGGGCATGGCAGTAGTTCATAGCCAGAACTGGAGAATCGCTGGCCAAAATCCCTTAGTTCAACTTTTCTCTCCCTTAACTGCCTCCCACTGCTGATTCCCCCCTGACCAATCAGGTTCCAGCAAGAAGTTTTCAGAATGGCAGCTTCTTTCTTCTCCCAGAAGGCTCAGGAATTCTGGGGGTTGAAGTCCACAGGTCACAAAGGGGCCATAGTTCCCCACCTCTGTTCTACAGCTATGCATGTTTCACTCTCTTCCTTCTTCTTCCAGTTCCACATGTCGTATGCCGACAAGGAACGCTATGAGGATGAAGAAAGGCCCGAGGGCCAGAGGCAGATCCTCGCAGAGATGGCCCGGAAGTTGCCAGTTTGTACAAGGACAGGGAATGGCGGTGAGTTTCTAATGTGACATGGGCAAGGTCCACCTATGCAGCAACCCACACTGACACCCCACTTTTGAAGAACTTTTGGGTTGACAAAGAGCATCGTCCAAATCAGCAATAACAAACTGTTTGGCTTTTGTATTAAGGGGGAAGGACCGATAAGGGGTTCATTCATTCCAGCTCTTAAAATCAAAATGCAGGCCTTGTGACATCATTACAGCCTTTTTCCTGGCTGCTTTTATCATTTTCACCCTAGCTAAAATTTACACTGTGATTTCTACTTGCCAGTTGGAATAGTAAATCTGGAGGTGGGGTGAATTCAGATCTGGGGAAATTGTGCCTTCTGGCTAGTAATTCTGGAAGCTGTAATCCAAAATATATCTGGAGGGCGGAAGATTGAGAAAAGCTCATCAAATTATTACTTTTCCCCAGTGGTTGGATTCCACCAATTCGCACCACTTCGGGAGAACCGGTTGTTAACTTTCTGAGCAGTTTTGTGAACTGGTTGTTAGACGAAATCATTAGGGCAGAGAGATGGTTGTGAAATTATTTGAATCCCACCACTGCTTCCCCCCCTCCACCCTATGGAATGTAAAGGTGTCCAAGGTTGGATGCACTTTGATTGTTGCTCCTGATTTCATAGCAGTGGCTGATGAATAGCAGCATTTATATCCAGGATGAATAGTTAACATGCTGAAAGTCAGTGGTAAATCCATGGAAAATCAGCATCATAATTTGCCGTTTGTATCCAGCAGGGACTAATAAATCACCAGAGAAGCATAGTTCACATAAAAAAACCATAGTAGAAACCCCTGGGAAGCTTTACCAAAAAAGCTGGAGGCTTTTGGACCCACTCCAATATAGGAAATTGACTGAGCATCCTAGAAAAAAGAAGCGTTAAATAACTTATTTTGTCAGGAAATGACTTTGTCCATAAAGTCATCAGCTCAGCCTTAGTGAAGGGCGTGTCTCTGCATCATCATCATCTCCTCTCCTGTAGCATTCAGCCACCTAGAAAGTGTAGATTCCCTGCAGGGGTGGCATTCACTTACTTTCCCTACCAGTTTGCAAATGTGAGCGCGCACACGCACTTGGTCTTCCGTGCATGTGCTTTGGCTTGAAAATGTGCCTAAATAGGATGACATAGAGCCGGGGCAGGTGGGCAGGCCCACCCGCGATTTCTACTACCAATTCAGACGAAACGGCTGAATCCCACCTCTGCTTCCCTGGTTTTATAGAAGGCACCGCCTATCTTCAAAGTAGCCCTCAAATCTTGTTTGGGTCCCACCTTTCTCAACGTTGGCAACTTTAAGATGTATGGACTTTAACTCCCAGAATTCCCCATGCTGGCTGGGAATTCTGGGAGTTGAAGTTCATACACCTTAAAGTTGCCAACATTGAGAAACATGCCTTGGTGCTTCTAGTAACAAGTTTATAAGACAGAATTTGCACTCATCATAATGATTAACTAGGGACATTTTTGTCATGTTCTTTTCCAGCCATTCGATTCTGTGACAGATGTCAGCTTATCAAACCTGACCGATGTCACCATTGCTCAGTTTGCGCTGTGTAAGTTCATTCTTTTCATCCATAAGCAATGTGGCTTGAAGGTTAGCTCAACAATTACATAGGAATGTTGTTGACTAGAAACATAAAAAGAAATAGTTTTGCTTGCTTTAGCCATGGCAGCACAGTGGTTAGAGTGCAGTACTGCAGGCTACTTTTGCTGAGTGCCAGTTGCCTGAAATTCTGCAGTTCAAATCTCACCAGGCTCAAGGTTGACTCAGCCTTCCATCCTTCCGAGGTCAGTAAAATGACTCAGATTGTTGGCAATATGTTGGGGAGGGCAAAATCTCCAGCCTGACTTTGAACTGAAGGTGGCAACTCTCAGTTTAAAAAGAAGATGGGTGAGCTTGGCATTGCATATAATTTTCGTGGTTCTTTTTATCTGTAGTTTATTGAGAGGGTATCAGTGAATATCTAGTCTAGACTAGACTAGACTAGACTAGACTAGAACAGAACAGAACAGAACAGAATAATAGAATAGAATAGAATAGAATAGAATAGAATAGAATACATAGAATGGAATAGAATATTCTTTATTGGTGAAGTGTAATTGGACACATGAGGAATTTGTGGCGCAGTGGTTAGGGTGCAGTACTGCAGGCCACTTCAGCTGACTGCAGTTCAGCAGTTCGGCTGTTCAAATCCCACTAGGCTCA